AATAAAGAACTTTTTAAAAATTGCTAATAACTCAAAATTTAATATATAAAACCAGCTTTGATGCTCTAATAAAAAAATTTCTTGCAAAATTTTACTATAAGCTATATTTTTGCTCTATCTCAAACCTTGCTCTAGCTTTAACAATAAAAAACTAACTTTATTTTAAAAAATTGTTTTGCTTTTGTTATACAAAGATAATTACCAGTAAAATTCACTACTGATTATTGCAAAATAAATTTATCTAAAATATATATTTAAGAAAGTTTATATTTAAAAAGAGCTAATTAAATTGTAGTTTTTAATATTTGATCTGTAGGCTTATATAACAAACTTAAATACTAAATTCTAATTAACTATATATATTTAAAGAATTAGTATAATATAAAAATTTTTTAAGTAAATATATATTTGCAGAATATAGAATATGTATTTAGTATTAATAATTTTATATGGCTAAAGTAAAAATATGTATTTAGAGAAGTATTGTATTTATAGAAATTGTATTTAGAGAGGTTTAACTATATATATTTTTTTAATCTAATTTATTTTCTTTATTTTTATCTAATTATCTTATTTTTATTTAGATTTATCTATACTGTATCTAATATAAATATTGTAATTTTGTTTACAGTTTTTTATTAAACTATATATTGTGATATATAGTTATTGTATAGAGTTTTAAAAATATACACGTGGGTATCAAATAGTAGCAGGTGATTGGCTGCATAGTAGCCAATCACATGTTGCTATTTGATACTTACGTGCATATTTTTAATTCTATATAATAATGGTATTATCGTATAGTAGTTATTGATAACTATATTTTTATATCATATTCGTAATTATATTATTAAATTAAACTGCATGAATATATATATTACATTTTTCAATTAAAATTTTTTCACATAGATTATTTTAAAAACTGAAAAAAAGATGATAAAATAGTAATAATGTAAACTATACAAATATAATAATTTTTAGTATAGTTATTAATAACATAGCTATATGATAATATTTTTTATTTTGCTAATATTTATAGTAGTTTTGTCTAAAGCTATTTTGCTATTACTATTTTTTGCTCTTGCTTTTTTTTACTAGTTTTACTAGTATATCTATAAAATTGTTATATATATTTCTACTATACTTTTTAATTTTTTTTAGTTGTATTTTTAGGTTCTTTTTTTATTATTTTATTTTTTTGTTTTTTTTTGTTTTAGCGATCCTTCCTTTATTATTTAAATTGATGTAGAATACTTTTGTAGTAGCTAAACTACCTAGTAGAATTACATATGTCTGTACTATATATGCTGATGAAATTATTTTAGGTTTCAGGATACGAAATTAAAATTTGAAAATAAAATTGGTTTTAACCTATTTTACTTAAAAAACAAAATTTTTTGATACTTTTTTTGAAGAGATGAAATTATAAAGAATATAACTATCTAAATTAGATTTGCTCTTGTATATAAAAATTTCTAAATTGCTCTAATGGAGATAAAATAGAGTTTTTTTGAAAATCTATTTTGGTAGCATATATAGTCTGTACTAATAAAGAATCACTCAATCTATTTAACAAGAACCTATAAAAAGTTCTGCAAGGAAAACCCAAGTATAATCCACCTAAGTGGTATTTTTTTATCTTATCTGAGATTTCTAATCTACTAAGAATTTATACTTCAAGAGTTTGCAGTAGGTGTCTACCAACCTTGTCAGTATCTGCTAATCAGAATATTTATCTACCTGATCATAGTAATTATATAAAACTCAGCTGATATATAAAAAAAATTAAGCTAAATACACTTTAATCTGTACCAAGGTCTAAAAATTATATGCATATAACTTTATTATTAGACTATATATCTTAAATTCTCTTTATTACCCTAACTTTAAATCTATATTCTATTCTAAAGTATAACAAATATATTAACTCCACATGTTCTCCCAATCTTATCTCGTCTAATTGGTATATAAGTCCTTAAAAACCTTTTGAGTCCTTAATGTACCAAGACTACATTTCTAAATAAAGAATAAATTATTTCCTATATAGCCATGTGTTTGTTGTGTTTATATCACAGTATCACCAAATATTGAAGTAGTAAACAATGCCAATCTTTTGCTGAGAAGTAGCCTAATCCCTACTTTTTGTCAAAAATTGGTTTTGGAAATATCAAAGCAGCGAGAAAAGTTTTGGTTTTGCAAGTTTCTAACTAAAAAAAGTTTTTCTAAGAGTTCGTTGTATCTTTCTGTCTCTAAACTTCTTGAGCTTTCTTTTCTACTTGCTGTTTCCAGAGACTTCTTTAGTTTGAATACTGAATGCAAAGGGAGTTCACCTAAAAAGATCTAGAAAAAGGCTTTACCTCTTTACAAACTATCCAAAATATCTGCTCCTCGATATATTATGTTTAAAGACTTCGTCGATAACAATTAGTATCAAGAAAACTTTAAGTTGTTGTTAATTTTTAGCCTTGAGTCTTCAACTTGCTTTCGGTACTAGTTGGTCCAAGTGATTATTAGGGAGAGTTGCCTGTTTAGATTCTTTTTTCATATTTTTTAAATTTATTATAAAAAATTTATATTTTTGATTTTTAGTATTTTTTTATACTATTTTTGTATTTAAACACTTGTATAGAAACCAAGCTATCTGTATATATTATAATTTTTATTTTTTAAATATTACTAGTAATATAATCTAAATAGTATTTAGCTAAGCTTTTATTAATAATAGCTAATTCTTTAATACTTAGTTGAATTGTGTTTTTTCTTTTTCTTTTTTTTATATTTTATAATCATTATCTATCTTGCTTTTAATTGTATTCTTTAGATATTTTTTTTATATAGCAACCCATTTATATAAAAATTAATTTTTTGTATCTTGTAGTTCTTGTACAATTGTTATTAAATTTTTCTATATTTTACCTTCTTTTATTTAGTTTTTAATCTCTTTAAGCAATATTTCTATTATAATCTTGTTTTGTATTTCTTGGCTATAAAAGAATTATCTGATAAAAAATAAATTACTGTACTACTATAATAACAAATATTACACTTTTTTAGATATAAATAATAAAGTTTTTATTTATATTTTTTTTTGATAATTTGAGTATATACAAAAATTTATTAATATATTAAAATAAATTTTATATATAAAATTTATAAAAGAATAATAATATAAAAAAGTGATTAAGATATCATCTTCAAGTTATATATTAAGAAATCAAATTCTATTAGTAATAAAAATTTAAAAATTCAGAATTGTATTATAGCTAATTATATTTAGTTAATTAGTTAAGATAGAATATCTATAACTATAATTACACTAGCAAAACTAGAAGATCTAGATATTTATATAATAAAAATATTATATAAAAAAATATTAATTGGTAATAAATAGGTTTATTTTAGAAGCAAATAGTGAAAAAGCTTTTATTGAGATAGTATAACCTTGAAGAATTGACTATATAACTGTAAAACTTACAAAAGAACCTTATATATTTTTATTGGCTCTTCACTTTTATTTTAGGAAAAATTTTGTAAAAAAGTGGGTGATTTAGCTTACCCCTTCCAAAAGATCGATGAATTGTTTATTTTTTAAATCGGGTAGTATTGTTTACTTTTTTTATCTATTACAACAAACACGTAGATATATATATAATATAGCATATAGATTACGTGCCTTAGACATAACAACCTAGACAAACAATAGTTCGAACCTAACAGTACAATTTTTTGATCTCTCTATAGTGCTGACATTGAAGAAGCTTTTTCTTTTTTTCTTTTTTTTTAAGTTTTTAAAGTTTAAATATACTATATATATAATTAGTATAGAGAATAGTTTAGATAGTAGTATGTAATTTTTATAAAGCCTGAGACAGGCTTATAACTGTATCAGAAAATTTTTAAATGGGTGGATAATGATTATTATCGGCAGGGTCGATTATTATCGATTAGAAAATCAATAAGAATTGATATTGGGCTGCTAATTGATATACAACAGATTAAAAAGCAATCAATTATAATTTTATTAATATTGCAAATTGATTACATATGATAAAAATCGATTGTATGACAAATAGTGTAAATCAATTACAAATTCTTCGAACCAGATTCTCTATAATGTCTCACTTTTCACCCAAAAACCTTGGTACTTTTAAAGTACTTGAAATACATAATGAACCTATAGTATATTTTAAAATTTACTCTTGTTTCAAAAAAGTTTATAAAAAAATAAAATAAATTTTACTTTTTTTAGAGAAGTTACCCTCCAGGAGTGAAGATTGTGCTAATTTTAAAGCTGCACTTAATGAATTTAAAAATTTTGCTCTGATAGAAATTCCTGTTTACATGAATAGTGAAGAGGTATGGTTTTCTTGTTATACACATACTCGCACACATACATATACACATTCATCAATATATTTAAATAAATTTTTTTTTGTTTTTAAATTAGATTCATACTGGTCGAATCATTAAACAAAGAATTCTTTCTGAACATAAAAAGATATTAGCTAAATATCATGAAGCTGATTCATCAATTGTAGAAAAAGCTATTAAAAGTACTTTGGCTATTAAACCTATTTGAAAAACTTACCTATTTAGCGATAAAATTGCCATCTTTTTAAAGGCTACTGGTCTTTTTAGATTACGCTATACAGTAATTAGATTCAGTATATTGTTACAACTAGTGGAAGAGACTTGTATTGGCAGAACCAATTTAGCTGAGAGTCGTAAACATTAAACAAAAACCTGGTTATTTTATTAACATACAAAAGGTACCAAAACATAATAACTAATATTTCTTTATTGTGTCTCAGACATTAACAATATTAATATCTCTATTTCTACTACCTACTTAGCAAGTTCAAAACTTACTAAACTCTAACTCAAATTACAAAACTAAAAGACAAAACTACTGCTAAAACAATTACACATAAAAGTATATTCAAGTATAAGAAAATCATACCCGACATTTGGATCTTACTATAAGATCTTTCATGATTTAGTAACTTGTGCCTTCTAAGGCTTCAAGTAAGTTGTTTCATGACTTTAGTGATTCTTAATTCTTTCAAATTAGAATTACTTTCTATTCTTTATTTATAGTCCAGTATTCACTTGCATTCAGGTTTTAGATCTTTCTTGAACTTCAAACCAGTGCACAAAATTGTGGTATGATGTGTCCTGATATTGTTCTGGCATTCTTTTCATTAAATGGAATTTAAGATCTATAGCTGAAGGTAGTAGCGATAATAATAATCAATTATAATGCAGGAAAGTATTAAATTCTGAACAAACAGAAAATTTCTGATTATCAAAAAATTGCGCTGAAATTTTTCTAATTTATCCGATCTCTAGTATTTTACAGTAGATTTTGTGCTCTGCTTCAAATATAGAATAGAAAAGAACAGAAAAGAACTCTGGAATATGCGTCATTTTAGAATCCCTGAGAAATTCGGATTTCTTGTCATTTATTTATTCTTAGTTTTATTTTATTTATTTATTTTTTTACTAATTTATTCATTTATTTTTCTCTCTTTTTTTTTTTTTATTAGCAAGGCTTTTCTGATAACTACTATAAGAGTTTAGAATTAGTGTGTATAATCAGGTTTCTTTTTTGAAGCAAATGAACATGAGACTGAAAGTCAAATATAGGTTTTAGTGATATTTTTGTATTTCTCGCATAAGGCATATCTATCGTTTGCCACTGCATACAGTACCCGAGTCTTATTTAATAACTTCATTTTTTAAATTGAATAGTACCCGTACTGTGTGAGGAACTAGGTATTATATTTGAGAAATATATCATATGAACAGTAATAAATTCATATAGTTATTACCCCAGGTACTATTCAAGAATTAAGCTAGATGGGTGGTGAGTAATACCCGGGTCTTAATCAAGGGGGTATTATATTTAGGAAATACTGTATGTAGTGGCGAATGGTAGTTCTTCTTGAGCATGATGAATTGTTTTTGACAAGGGCATAATTTGATATTGAAATCAATTTTTAACAATGGCAAGAATTTGAAAAAGGTTTTTTGGCTCAAATTAATATTACAATCATAATACGTACTGTTACTTTTTATTAAAGATTTATACTATTTCGATGAAATTAATTTTACCAGCATCTTCAATCCTGATATTTTTCTATATATAAATGTTCGGTGAACATCTAACAAGAAAAATGCCAAAAAATACAGCTTGTGTATATTAATGATTAGTCGTTCAATTTATGCATCAGGATTAGCATGATATTTAAATTATGTACTAATTTTTTATTTTTTTTTAAAACACGCTATATAAAAAAAATTATACTAATTGCAAAAAAAAAGACTAATTGCAAAAAAAAAAAAAACCCCTATAAAAAACCAAATTAAACACTAAAGAGTTTATCATTAACTTCTCTTGAATTCAATCTATTTTGTGTGGTTGTTTGCTCTTGGATTTCACTTGTGATTTTAGTCACCGTATTTTCATTTTCATTAAAAATTGCAGTTTTTTCAGCGCCAATAATTTCTGCAGATTCTTGAAATAGAGCACTATTATTTTCAAAGTCATGCTGAAATTATCATAAGTTACAATTAAAGATGTACCTTGTGTTAGATTACAAATTATGACTTCACGTGAAATATGAGGCAACCTTATCCAAGACCAAATGAGTTCAGCAAATTATAATTTTTTGTGATAGCTCTAAGCTTTTTTTAATATTTGATTATCATCCAATTTCTTAATTAAAATTCATTTCATGTGAGAGATGAGGTCATATAATGTAATTTGAACAGAAGAAAATATATCTAACTCAAACTGTGAGAAATTATATTTGTAGCATTAGTGGTTAAGTGACCTATTATTGAGAAATGGTTTTTTTATGTACTGTATACCAGGTGTGGGATCAAGTTTGGATTAGGTACGTTTCTACTTGTTTGCAATTTGCGCAAACCATCTTTTATAAGGTATATATTTACGAGCCTGTATCATTTTATTGACAATTTTCTTGACAAGCTACCTTACTGATATCATATATGACAATTACAAATTACTATAAATATGCTAAACTAATAATATACTAAATTGTTACCTTAAATGACTGCTATAAGGTGATTACCTCAATCTTTACTTACAATAAATTTTTTCATTTTTCATTTTATTCTGTTTTCAGTACATGCAATTCTATTTGAAGCAGGATTAAGAAGAATATCACAGACTGCAAGAGTGAATACATAGTGTGAATTTGTAAGATTAGAAACTGATACTTCATTGAATACACACTGTGCAATAATGGTGATCCAGTACACTCCATCGTCATTACATCAGAAAAGTGAATTAAAACACTCAGATATTTTTAGATTGATCTTCCATGCGACAATATCAGTGATAGAAGGATTACTTTTTAGTAATAGCAACTTTTCTGTACCAAATATACAAAATGTTGTCTTTCTAATATTAGATAGTGCTGTGACTCAGATATTTTTTATTTTTAATAATAGCTATTGGTAAAACAAGAAAATTTTAATATTTTAGTTTTGCAATATAAAAATTTAAAATAATTTAAAAATTACATAAATATATATCTAATGCCAACATGTGTATTGGCAAAAGAAAAACATATTTTTAAATCTAGCCTATGTATAAATGTGTATATTTTTTTTTGTTAGCACTCCTATACCAGTAATCATGTGACATATGTCAATTACAAATTTTTTTACGAACTGTGATTAATTTATAGTACAATGTAAATTTTTAATGATTTAGGAATTTTGGTATGATACATACTTTAAAACCTTTCAACTTATATAGTTAATACTTTGAAATTATGATCGTTAACTTTGTAGAGATTGTCACAAAGAATAAAGTTTTTGGATACCTTATAGTTGAAAAGTTTCTATTCATTTGATCATGTGATTACCTGGTATCATAAGGGATCTTTACTAGGAAATAACCCTTCAAAGCTATGTTGATTTTATGAATAAAATAAATTTGCAAAGAATTTTTTATTTTGTAGAACTCAATAAGATTCACAAATAAAACCAAATTGGATAACTAGATGGTTTGCAAGTTTAATTTTATTCACAAAATTAATATAGCCTTATAGGGTATTTTTTTTCTAATATTTATTTTTTGTATGTTATAATTATCAATATATAATAAATATATACTAGACTAAGCTACTCACAATGAAAGCGGTTATGAAATTGATTTAGACTGAGGCCAACAAAGAGATCATAATATTTTTCTTCTAAATATGTCTTTAATGTGTTCTTTAAAACATCTTGTGTTGGATAGAAGATTTTTGAAAAAAGATATTTTATAACTCCTTCAAAAATATGTTATTTAAAATAGGCTGAATAAACAGTATGCTTCTATTTCCAAATGGCAGAAAAAAAATATACTTATGTCCATTGATTGAGCCAAGAGCTCATTATCTTGCTCATTTTTTTGTTTTTTAAGTTCACTTTTAACTTCATCTAAGTTTTCATTAAGCTTTAATAGCAACAAATATAATTGTTTGTTCTGCTTAAATAATCATTCATCAACTTGACGACGATATTCTAAAAAAAAATTCAATTAATATTGCTATAAAAAACTTTAACAATATTTATTGATACTAGCCAAAATTGAAATTTCAGTATATTAAATGTTATGATGTGAATATACATAATATGTATTCGAATTATGCTATTCAATATACTAAAATTTCAATTTTAACTATGATTAATACCTTGTGTAGTTGAATTGGATATATTGGCTTGAGACACTTGGAATGTTCTGGTTTGCTGTTGTTTTGGGGAACTAATAAGGCTTTGTGCATAGAACCTACTATTTCCTTGTTGGTGAGAGGGAGACTTATAACTCTTGTTATTACTTTTTTGTAGGGATGAAGTCTCATGCCACTTTTCTTTATGGGAACCATTATCATACGTTTTTTCTTGAGGGGAATAATTGCTAGAGCTACTAGTATATTCTTCTTATTGAGAGGAATTGAAATGATATCTTCTATGTTTCTTGGAAGAATAGGATTTAGAATGATTTTTGGAAGAATTAGGGTGAGATTTGTGCTTTTTATGCTTTTTTAAAGAATAATTGCTAGAACCACTAGCATCATCCTCTTGTTCAGAAAAATCTGAATGAAAATACAATATACTGTTGTATTTAGAAACAAATTTTATAAATTTTGCATATCAAAGAAAAAATAAAATTTGATTTCTTGATCTGCAATTACAAAATTTTACAAACCGCAATAAAACAATTACTGTCATTTTGATTACTTATTTTTTCAAAAAAGCCTTGATTAATTGAAAGTTTTTAAGAATCTTTGTTAGATATTTAATCCAAGTTTTTAAAAAATCTGCAAATAAGAAACAAGTGGTTTTAATGATAAAGAGTTGCGTGAAGATGAAAATAATACACATATAAAATTTCAATAATATAATTCTTGAATTTTGTGAATCCTAGTAAACCACATATATATTGCCATTTTCTTCCCAATAGCCAAATGTAGGATAAGACTTACAAAATTCAATGATCATCACACTAATTATTTTTAAGCCTATTTTGGATAGTCCAAATGTAAGTAGTGCTGTTTGTTTCAATTATAAAGAATTGGAAAGATATTTATATAGTATCTAATATTGAAAATAAATTATGCATTATTATCTAACCTCTACTATGTAGTTAGAATTGAAATTTTAATTTTGCCAATTTTTACCAATTTTATCATTATGATGAAATTATTTATTACTTTAATTTTATTTTACTTTATTAAAACCTATTTTCAAGATATATATTTTACACAACTGTACATGTTTAATGATCACTTGCTTATTTGTTTATAGGAAAATGATGATAATTACATATTTGGCAATAGCGTGCTTTTGCAGTAATTACATTTCCCTATTTGTAATTATGTATAAATAATATAAAATTAAATTGATTTAAACAGCCAATCATATGAAAGTCTTCCTATGAGTCTGCATCTAAATTATGTGAATTATGTAAATGCATAGTATAATATAACTGCAAGAAATATATTTGAATTAAATAAATCTTTGTTAAAATATTAAAATGAAATTGTATAATAAATATATATACTCTATATAATTCAGAATTATATTTAATAATATAGAGAATTAAATATTCTTTTTGTATGAGTTGATTGAAGTTTAGATTATATTCGATCATACCTGAATTAAAAAAATCTTTATTAACATTCTGTTTTGTGATACATTTATTTTAGACATAGTGTTTCATATTAAACACTTGTTGGTAAGGAAAAATTATAAAAGCACTCAACAAAACAAACGAAATAACTATAAATCTAAAATAACTTACAACTAATTTATATTAACAGTATTTTATTAAATTGTTTTTTTTATATAAAATATATTCAATATGAGCTGGCAATACTGTTTTTGTAACAAACAATTTTCTAAACCTTATTCTTTGTCGCAACACTTATCTCAAAAACATCCTAGAATATTTAAAAATACATTCACGTTGAAATCAACTTCTCAGCCATTGTATGTTTTTGATGATACTATTTAGAATATGCCAAAAGATCCTAATAATGATACTGTTTGGAATATGCCAAAAGATCCTAATGATAATACTGTTTAGAATATGCCAACATATCCTAATGATAATCTATGGGTAACTAATGTTCAAAGTTTTTACCGTATCGTCTCAAAATAATGTCGGGGTGTTATTCGAGACACATTGCTTGAAGAGAGCTAATAATTAACTTAGCGGAAGACTTTTAATAACAAAAAATTATGATTTGCATTTTGTTAAATTAATTATTAACTCTTTTCAAGCAATGTGTCACAAAATAATAGCCCAGAATGTTATGTGATGATACGGTAATATAAAATGTTAACAGAAATATACCACAATTTTTAATCATGTTTTTAAATTTAGAACCAAGGAATATCACAAACTATGGAACCAGATCTTTTTGATCCTGAACTTTCTTTAGATCAATTGGATTATTCTGAAGAAGCTTTTCTTTCATTCTCTTCTCAATCTATTGAAGTGATGAATTAAAATTTGAGAATATGCTAGTTGGTGATGAAGACTCTAAGGAAGCATCGTTTGAAGATGCTTACTATGATTTGCACGATTTAGAAAAAGTACAATGGCCTAATGATGCTTACTGAGAATTTATGGAGATTACTACTAAATATCAGCTTTTTGATAGAGCAGCAAATGCTTTTATACACTTTTTTAATAAATTTTTTAATTTGAAAAAATCACCTTTGCCTTTATCAATATATACTGGAAAAGAATTTTTGAATAATACAAATATTACATATACGACATTTAAGAAAATTTTAATCACAACCTTCCAAATATATGCTCTATTATCGGCCAATAATTCAGACTATTAAATCATTATTAGTAGTTGATAGTATTAATCGAGATTTGGTATTAAACTATGCAGAAAATATTAAAACAAGAAATAGTATAGAATATCAAATATTTAAAGAATAGTATAATTGTAATTGGTGGAAGCAAGAAAAATTAAAACTATCTGTTGGCCAACATCTACTTTCGATAATTCTCTATTCTGATGCTACGACCTTAGATCATATAGAAAAATCTTCTAGACACCCAATATTTCTATCTCTTGGCAATATTTCAAACCTTCAGAGAAATAAACCAAAATCAAAGGCATTAATTGGATATTTACCAATATTAAAAGCCAAAGATTCAAAAATCAAAGATTCTGAAGGTTTTAGACAAGTGCAAAAACTTGTTTTTTAGCGATGCCTATCAATTCTTTTAAATCCTATAATTGATGGTCCAGAACTTCAGTTCGTAGTTTGACAAGACATAATTACATTTATTCTACGAATTTTAATAATCTTAGCTAATATGCTTAAGGCTAATATAATTACGAACATTTATCGATTATATTCAGTACAAAGACCATGTAATACTTGTCTGGTACCAAAGGATGATCTGAATAATATAAATCTAGATCTAAATGAAATTATGCTAAGAAATTATCAAAATATGAGACAAGCAATCGAGGCCAATTGAGCTAAAGAAAATTCAATTCATAATGAACAAAATACATTCTGGCGAATAAGGTATAAATTAAAAATTTTAATATTAATTGTTACAAAATATACAAATAAGTAAAATTGGTTCTTGTTACCTGACTGGGTGACTTTTTATAAAAATTAAATTTTTTTCTATATTAGTATATATAATTTTTTTTATTCTTCATAATATATTTTTTTGCGTCCTATTTGTCTGTTTCATGAAATGAGAACCAATTAATTTAATTTGCATGGCCTGACAATATTCTAATATATAACTAACAATATTCTAATTAATTAGAGATTTTAATATTTATCAAGCAACAGTGCTAGATCGAATGCATGCATTAGATCTTGGTTTGTTTAAGTACATGCTAATCTTTACAAAAAAACTTTTAACTGAGCAGTGTGAAAACAGAACTGTTCAAATCTTTGAACAATGCTTTACGGAGATTCCTAGATTTCATGGACTCAAGATAATAAAACATGGATGTGATATGAAACGTATGACTGCTGATGACTTGTAAAATATCATGAAGGTTATTATTTTTGTTCTTGATAATCTTTATAGCACAAATAAAAAAAAAAGTCAGTCATCAGTAATAACCGTTTGTGTAAAATATTTTGCAAGTTTCTTAAAATGTACTTGGCTACTCGTGAAGACTCCTTTACAGATGAATCTTGTTCTGAACTTCAGGTATAATAAAAATTAAAGCTTATTTATTTTCACATATTTTAAACTCTTTTTATTTTATTTTATTTTTTTTTAATCTAGGAACTCACTATAGATTGGGCAGAAGATTTTGTTGATATATTTGCTTTTTTTTTTTTTTGGTGTTAAGGTGGCCTCTTGGCCGGCTCCTTTTATTCAGTTATAGTTAACTTTTACAATATGCGTTTATAGCATCTCGTATACATAT